ACCCAACCCGTTGGGTATCCGCGGGTTCATGGGTACCCATGGGTTTTGTCGTAAAAAATTTACAATTACAAGTTCTTATCAAAATTAAAGTCAAATATCAATCTCTCAATACAAATTATCCATATATAAAACACCATTCTAGAAAATTCAAGCAAATCACAAATTAACAATACAAATTGTTCAACACCAATCTAGAAAACTCAAAAAAATTGAAGCAAATCACAAATTTTTCATAAATAACATGTTTAATTGAAAGCTTCTTCTTTTCAATTAAGTTTCTTTACTCTCCACTCCATAACATCAACTTCATTCTACACAATTAAAAAGAAAAAATTAGACATGTCTCCACAAACATAAATAAGATTAGTTGTTTAGAATATTAAATAAAACGAAAAAATTAATTATATGGGTGGGCGGGTACCCACGGGTCGGGTTTATCTAAACCCAAACCCAACCCAACCCGTTGAATAGTGAATGGGTTTAAACCCAAACCCGGCCCAAAACCCGTCAACACAAATTTTACCCGCGTTGACCGGGTTGGGTCGGATGGGTACCCGTGGGTTCGGGTTTTGTTGCCATCCCTAGTTTCAGAAACCATACTTGTATATGTTACTCTGCGACTTAAATTGAAATCGACTAATAGTTATGAGGCAATAATATAAAAAACCGGATGCTCAACGACTTCTTCATAACCCGCATATTTAAGAGAAACAATTTCCTATTTTCTATTTCTTTATCCTCAGTGCTCATCGAAATCACTTTTTTAAATAGTAGAATTTGAATTAGGGGTGACAGTTCGGTTCCCGTTTACCAGTTAACCGACCGGTTTAACCGGTAACCGGCCAGTTATCCACTAACTGGTAACCGAAGTAACCGAACTTCGGTCGGTTATCAGAGGTTGGACGAAATGGTTTTTGGTCTTAAAAGTGGTTCGGTTAACCGATAACCGAGATAATCGAGAAACCGAAGCCTATTTCGGGTAGTTTTCGGTAGAGGGAATGGTTATTTCAATTAACCGATAGCCGACCTGCCACCCCTAATTTGAATTAAGAAGCAAACTTTATGCCGTAGACCGTGGCATAACAATTTTTACCTTAATAAATAGGTAATTTTTGTCAAGCTCATGGAACTTTTTTCAATCATCAGGTTAGATAATTTTTTTTTATTTAGGGCTGCGATCCAAGCCTATGTAATCCTTACTAGTGGGTAATCCTGGATGAATAGCTTAGTGCGAGGGATTGTTGGGCTTTTGAAATACATGAAGAAGTCACTCAAGAAGAGTGTAAGCCTAACCAGCCGTCAATGGGATTGAAGAAGGACTCTAATCTCAACCTTTGGGCTTCAGCCCATTGGACTACCATTTTGACCCAAGGGAATACGTTTCTGCAGGTAGGGACAACAATGGTTGTTTGTTTGATATTGGAGCCCAATATTAACATTAGGGTTTCGTTCTCCAGCCCAACCAAACCCATGATTAGACGATTAACTTCAAGTCTTCAACCTATAATTAAAAGATATATGAACTAATCATCAATTCCCTGGTGGAGCTATGTGTAGTTCAGAAGTTAGTATATGATGGTTTGGTCCATATCAGATATTCAGTGGCGAACCCAGAAATGTAATCAAGGGTATTCAACCATAGATCAAAATCATTAAGGGTTGTCAAATAATCTTACATTTGAATACTATAATCACTAAAACAAAATTTTACAGTGATTTTAGTTTCCCAAATTGGATCCAAGGTTTGTCAATTGACAACCCTTTCACCCACTTGGGTCCGCCATGTAGATATCATTGGAACAAATCGGTGTTTGAACCGGATCAAATCGAACCGAGTATAATGCGTTTTGGTCCTTGATCCCATAAATTTTATAACCAATGAAGAAAAATAGACTGAATTGACTGGACCAAACCAGACCAAATGGTACCAAATGCCATAATAGTCCGCTCCTTGATCCCAAACTATCTTTCACTAATGGACTGTGATTCTCATGTGTCTGGTCTGGATCGGACCGCACCGTTGCACACCCCTATCCAGAAGGGGCTACAACCCTCCTCAAATTTGGATCTAAGGTTATAATGTGTGTATGTACCTTGAGAAAATATTAGAAAGTTGTAGAACGGGGGCTATCAGGCCGACATGCCCCCTCCTTTTAAATTTAGGTTCAATTTTAGCAAGTTGTTGCAGCTTGTTATTTTCAGCCCCTTCTCACTTTAAATCCCGACTTCGTCATTGGTACAATCATTGATCAATCTCAAATTCTCTATCACAAGGAGTGAGATATCGGAAAATCGAACCAAACTGGAAATCAGAAACTGTAAACCGAAACAAGATCTTCTCATGAAACTGAACCGAAAACCAAATATATTGGAGTTTTTTTTATTATTTCATTTCGATTTTAAACAAAACCAATAAGTGTTTGAGTATTTAGAGTTTTTTTTTATTTTATTTCATTTCGATTTTAAACAAAACCGATAAGTGCGAAACAGTTAGAAACCAATTCAACGATTTCAGTTTAAACCGAAAACCAAACGGACAGTCGAGTCTATCATTCGGTCGCCTACTTTTAGGTCAGATATAAATATAAGAGAAGCACAAACTAGCTATAGAAAGTAAGACAACTTAGTACGTACTTACTAGCTAAGCTAACACTAACAACCTCAAATCAGGAGATGATGAGAGTTGTCGACGAACAGTAATATAAGGATCGTGTACTATTACTATGATCATAATGTGATGTGGTCCGAGACACATAGTAGATTGATAAGCAAGCAGCCAATTATTTATGTTTCAATGGGTACGTACTTAGTAAACATTGCCACATGCATGCTTGGTGGTTTTACATGCTGTTAGCTTTAAAAAAAGTTTGGACCATTTTCCTCTTCACCTCACGATTTCTTGTTAGGGTTTCGGTACATCTCAAATCTTTCTCACGAATAAATGTTTGGTCGATCGACTTATTGCTATCGGCTAAGTGAGACAAGAACTATTACTATCGTACTGAGATGTTCTTGATGACAGAATTTACTTGGTTTCGTCGAGATGGTTTTATGTTTGGAGGTTTTTGTTTTTAAGAGAGTTATTACTAATAAGAGGGACGAAATCATGACCTATATGAGATTAGGGAAGGACGGTGACCCTTCTGATCACTTTCGCAGGCAGAATAATATACATGTACCGAATGCTGATAATGTACTCCGACGGTGATGAAGTTCATTAGTAATTAACTTTTATTACCACCAATGGTACTAATAATAGCAAGTAATAATTAAAAAATATCATTATTTTAACATAACACATATAGGTAGCTAACTCATTACACCTCCATGATTTGTGGTCCTAGCTAAGCTAATAGCTACAACAACACACGTTACATTATTATAATTATGCCATCGTTGTTATTATCATCATTGAACATGTATATATTGAAAACTTCGTTTTCAAATGCTATCATAATTTGTGTCAACATGAATCCCATCTAGCAAGCTATAAGCTACCATATATATATACACCAGCTTTCCCCGACATCTCCTTTGTTTGAAAACTCCTTTCACCTTCTTATAAATAAATAAGAGAAAACTCCCTTTACCTTAATTAGCCCATTGTGATTTCAACAAATGTATATCCTAATGAGTGATCTCGCCGAGACTTAGAAGTTGTCAGTATCATGAATCGTTCATATCAATAACTCAAGCAGTTATGAGAAGGTCAATCATATATGAATTTTATGCGCCTCCATCTATGCAAAAAAAAATATATAGGGATTTCCTATGGTAACTTGAAGTAAGGTAACTGGAATTTTTTTACCTACTATAGCAGGTTTCACAGGTCGCGTTACGTAAAATACAATAGGCATTACGTAATGGTTACGTAACATATGGTAATCTTACGTAACAGTTGTAAAAGATCATTAAAGAAGCCTTACATAATAGAATGTGTCTTTACGTAATGAGTATTAACCTCGTGTTACGTAAAATGCTAAGTCATTACGAAAGTCTTACGTAACGCTACTGATTTAACTGTTACGTATGAAATAACTGTCGTTCCGTAACTTTTACGTAATGAAAGGTCTTTTTATGTAATGAGTACTAATCTCGCGTTACGTAAAGAGCTAAGCCATTGTTTAAGCTTTACGTAATGCTTCCGATTTAACTGTTACATAAGAAATAACTATCGTTCCATAACCTATACGTAATGAGTGTGTATTTTACGTAACAGTTGTAAAATGTCATTACGAAAGCCTTACGTAATGGAAGGTCTCTTTATGTAACGAGTATTAACATCGTGTTACGCAAAGAGCTAAGTTATTACGGGAGCCTTACGTAACGCTTCTAATTCAATAAGAATTAAAATAAGGAAAAATAAAATAAGGAAAAAGCAATTAAATGCGAAAAAGGAAAGAAACAATAAGAAAGGTAAATCATTATTTAAGATGAATTTTACTTAGACATTAACTTTCTGGCTTAATCATTAAACTATCGGAGGTGCGCTCCCTCATTTTTTTAAAAGAAAAGGAGCGAGAGTTGATAAGTTGAAAATTCGCTAAATTCAAACCTGCTATTTCAAAATTCTTCACCGATATTGATTACTTGTGATGGCGAACGAGGCAATTCGACCCTATTGCTTCATTTTTAGACAATGAGATCAAATTGGCTCATCCAATTTCATCATACCGTGCATCATGTTCAATTAACGCTAAAAATGATAAATATTTCAAAATGATGCATCAATTATAAGATGAGATAATTTCAAGAGAATTAGATCAAATTATTTCATTTCTGAAATTCTTCATCTAAACAACACCCCTAAATCAATGCACCATCGGCTAGATCAATAGCGAGTTTGACTAATGAAAATTTGTAAAAGACGTTTGTAATATTTATTTATTTATTTATTATTTGACGTTTATAAAGATAATTAAAATGCATGTTATGCTCAACAATCCATGCAAACCACCTTAAGATAAGCTCTGGATGATGCAAATGAAAGGGAGAGAAATATAAATATTCCATTAATAATATATATCTTCTGTATAAAAATTCCATTAAAATTTATTTCCCCTTCTTGGGTACTATATATTTCCCTATAATATTAATATCCTAGGCATAAAAGGAAAAAAAACATATGAAAGGAAATTCACATGCAAATTTCCAATCCCTATACAAATATAAATATCATATAATAATATAATTAATTGACAAAATAAAATAAAATAAAATAAAGAAAAACACAGCAGATATCCCATGATAAAGACACCCACCCTGTTTTCAGTTTTTTTGTCTCATATGAAAAAGCTCCCCTGAAGCAGCTCACTCAGCTCTCCACTGCCACTCTCCTCTTCCCCTGCTTCCGCCGCCGCCAGTCCGTCGATTCCGAACTCATTACTCGGATTCGGACTTAGACTCGGACTCGGGCAGTTCCGATTCAGCAGCTCCTCGATCATCTGCAGCGCCATTCTCTCTTCTTCTTCAATTTCCTTCCTGATTTCCGGCACCGGCTCTGCCGCCGCCTTTTCCGAATTGTCGGTACCGATTGGATTGTCAGTAGCTTCTTTTTCCAGCTGGGTATTGTTCGAATTCGACGATCGGTTGCCTAGCTGGACGGTCATGACCCAATTGGAATCGGACCGCTGCCCCGCGCGTTTCTGCCAGACCCCAATGTGGGAACTCTCGGTGTCGAGCCTGAGGCATGTCATCGACGGCGAGGGAGTCTTGCTGCACTTACGGAGCTTAGCGTGGAGAATTTCCGACAGCCCATTTTTGATCGGCGGCGGCGGGGCTGATGGGGATGATGAAGATGAGGAGGAGGACGAGGATTTGGTTTCGCCGGAGGCGGTGGACTGAGGAACGGGGAAATTGGTCTTGGCGTTGCGCCCGCTCATCAGGATTGCGGCTTGGTCGTATGCTCTCGCAGCTTCCTCCGCCGTCTCGAATGTTCCCAGCCAGATCCTCCTTTTCCTGCAAGGTAATTGGGGGAATATAAGAAAATTGGGGCAATGTGAGAGAGAGTGAGGACAAATGCACGCCAACTGTTCGATAAAATGTCGCTTACAGTAAAGGGTGTCGAATTTCTGAGACCCAAGAGCCCCAATGACGCTGCCTGACGCCTCTGAACTTCCTTGATTGCACCATTGGGCTGGTTTTGTTGGTGGGTTCAAGGGAGAGAACACGGGAAGGAAGGTTTCAGTTGTGTGGCAGGAAAGTACAGGGGAGTTCAGAGTTTCAACAGAGAATGGGGAAGGCTGGCTTTTCAAAGTACAGGAATGCACAGAAAGAGAGAGAAGACAAGAGCAAGGTAATTATAGGAGGCAAAGCTTGGAGAGGTCAGGATTATGATGACGATGATGAATGATGATCAATGAAGGGGGAAAGGAAAAAAGGAAGAAGGGACGGCAGAGGAAAGAGGTTAGAGGTTAGAAGAGGACAGTGTCGGCGAACTAAAAGGTTTGTACTAGGTTAGCTGGTATTTAACAGCCTTCACCTACACGGTACACACTCCCTTCCCTTTCTTTCTTGTCTTCTTTTTCTCTCTACTGAATTTCAGAAAATGGTGATAAGTAGAAATCTTTTCTGATTGCTAGAACAACCATTTGAATCATATACAAACCTTTGGATTGTGCGGAGAACCAATAATCTCACATTTGGACCATTAGGTTATTGACTTAATGGTGCCATAGAAAGGGCAACGACTTTGAGTCAATCAGTTTGTACCCCATAAATTTCTAGTTATCTTTTCCTCGTCCTTTTAACGTTAGAAGTAATGTAGAATCAAAAGGTCGCTAAATTTATGCGAATAACATGGTTCATGAAATAAAGTTACAAACTTTAAGCGCAGTAGATGAACTTTCGTCGGGTGGAGGGCAAGAGTGGGTAAATAGAAGAAGGGGTTAAGGTAAATGGAGACTTTACAATACGGCTTAACCTTTCTTGGTCTCTTAAAGTTTGCTAACTGTATGTGTACTACAACAAACAACAACATAAACACGGGAGGGAAAATTTCTCACTAATTGTACTAAAAAAAATTAGTTATGTTGTCTTATTGAGAAAAGGGAGCCTTTCTCATTGGGTGTATCATGAGAAACAGAGTGATAGAGAAATATTGTAGGGCACTTTGGTAGTGGCCTACGCCCAGTTAATGAACTGGTGGACGACTACATTCATTTCCTTTCCCCCCCATAGATTGATGGTTAGTTTCATAGTCCTTTGTACAGTGTATGGCATCTCCTCTGTAGAGGTCTTTTGCAAGTCCTCTAAACTACATGTAGCTTCACTCCTGTCAAATACTTGATCTTCAAGTTATGTGTTATCTAAAAGACTTTTCTTTGCAGGAAACCATGCATCATGGAGGTTCAATTGTTGATTTCCATACGGCGGAGTTCTGTCGAAAGTATCAAGTCATTGGGCAGTAAAGTGAAGAGCTAGCTGGACTAAGAACATGAGCAGGTGTGATTAGCCAATCTGAGGTGCAATGGGAGACTGATAGGGCTATGTGTGATTAGCTATCCAGGGTCTTGAAAATGGCTACAGCTCGGGACGATATTTTACTATTTTGTATATGTCGGCCTAGAAATTCGAGGATGGTATTGAGGAATGAAGGCTGGCTGGCTCTTGTGTACGTTCTTTTAGTCATGTCAAAGCATGCTTCAGGTCATTCATGTCTTGGCTGTGTTGATTTATACGTTTCATTGCAGCCAAATGTTCTCTCTCTGGCTCTGCAATTTCCTTTTCTTGACTTGACATGAGATCTTCACGTGGCTATCTCTCTGTCTGAGTACTATGTGCATACTATTTTGTAGGTTGGTGATATTGTACTGGTTATAAATACAGGAAATGAGGTTCCATTCATGTATTATAATTCAAGTGTGGTTATAGACGTTACAGTAATAATAGTTCATGTATAGCTGGAGACTGCAACAAGACAGTACCTCTTCTTTTGTGCCATGTTCGAAATTCAAGGCACATGAGATTGAATACTCAAGTTTCAGGGGATTTCTCCTCAAGATTGATTGGAAACTGCTAACTAGCTCTGAGGAATTATGGGGCAGAGTCTTAAGAGCTGGATACCTACTAGTGGAGGATGGAAATATGATCATAGCCAGAGCATCTTGAGGTATGTGGTTGAAGTCTGGGACTACATTGAGCACGCCAAGGTGTGGAATGTGCTAAACGATAAATCGATTCGGTTTTGGAGGGATATTTGAATTGGTCACGAACCCTTCCAGATGCTTGGTTACAAACTTACAATGTTGCCAGTGGGGAATACAGTAGAAGAGGGTTAGTTCAAAGATCAAATTACCTACTAAATAGCGACAACGATCACAAAGAATCAGACACTCCATCCGACACGCTATCGAGCAACATGATCCTATGTCGCAAATTCATAATTCCCTCCCATCTCATATGTTATGGCAAGGTTGTCAATCAATTCAGAAATGTGCTTAATATCTTCAACTACCACATACAAACATATGTCACGACGACATGAACCCACAAAAAGTAGATCAATATGTTCTTAAGCATCATGCTTCAAAACCCGCCAAAAGTAGATCAATATGTTCTCAACTAGAGGTGCCAATTGGATCGGATTCGTGAATTCGTGGATTGGATTGGTGGATCCATGGATCAAATGGATTGGATCCAATGGATTGGTGGATTCATGGATTGGATCAAATGGATTGGTGGATTGATCCATGAATCCAAATGACATCCAAGGCTTGGACCAAAATGTAAAATTTGAAAAGTTTTGGTATTAAAATGTCATAATGAAAAAGTTTAGGTACCAAAATGTAATTTTTCAATGATATTTTTCGTATAAAAATATAAATTTTAGGTACCAAAATGTAAAATATAAAAATTATAGGTACCAAATCGTAATTTGCCATTTGGATCATGGATTGATCCATGAATCCACCAATCCAATTGGATTTGGATCAAATGGATTGGATTTAAATGGATTGGATTAGATGGATAATTTGATGGATGGATTGGATTGGATTCATGGATTTGGATTCTAATTGCCACCTCTATTCTCAACATATAATAACAAAGAAAAACCGACATTTTCCCCCAAATCAAGTGTTCCCAACCAAACACACTAACTATAACTAACTAACTAACTAAGAACCAACCACATCACATGCAAGTTGTAACCATAAAAAGATTATTAGTTTAGAAGGGTCCATCATCCATCCGTTCTTTTCATTTGAAGCTTGCATGTTGATGTTCGTACATTGTCCTTCTCTTATAATCATTAAATTGCTAATAAATCTTGGACCATTGTAATTAAGTGAATAAATGGTCCCTAAAATTAACATGAATTAGCATTTGCCCATCTTTAGTGCTAATTATGTTATCGTCATTGTCATTTTCTTGTATTGATATTGACTTCTCATACTTATAGTATTAATCTCTTTGGTCCCAACTTGTATTTTATCTAACAAAAATCACACCTTGGGAACTAATTAGAACTTTATAATTTAGGTCGACATCATCTCATCACTTGAGGCATACAATATTTCCCTAATGAAAGACATTCACAGAGAGGTTGAATTGTCTTTTTAATGACCAACAATACAGAGTAAGATTGATCACAAGTTTTTTTTTTGGTGAAAGGGAGCGAGCACCGCTACCTCAATTAATAAACCTCGCGGACTACAAAGTCGCTAACATAGTCATACAAGAGCCACCGCTCGATATCCGAATCAATACAGTCAATAGAAATAGAACCATGATGTAACAGGTGACCCTTATGAGCGAGACAATCCATCTCTACGCGCTCCTCCTACAACGGTAGACTCCGACGGTCGCAAAAGCAATCCATTCACTGTGAGCCATCCTGTAGGAGCTGGTCTCCACCCCACAGCCAAGTCGCAACTCAACCCAACCTCCCCAGTGCTATTGTGTGTTCCGCCACTTTACTCTGTTGCACAATGATCTTCGGCAGAGTGCCATACCTCTATAACCTGCAAACACAACTCCCTTGGTAAGAATTGTTCGATAAGAGATAGGTTCCACTCACCTGAGCTAGTTATCATAAGACAATCAAGTGACTTTTCACTTATGACAAAGCTCAAATTTAATATTGACGAGAGATTAGAATAGAAAAGAACATTTTACAACTTCTTATAAGGGAATTAGAGTTTTGCAGGAAAAGTTGTTAACAACACATTATGCTCTCCGCACTATATACACAAATGTTATATCATCAGAAGACCAAATATTGACTGAGACTTTAATTTGGTTTTGACTTTGTCACCCACAATTTCGAAATTCCTACATTTTTACCCTTATTTCTACACATTTTTACCCTTAGAATAAGTTGTATACAAAAAGTTCATCTGCCAAAATGGCCTAAAAAATAGTAAAATACTATCTTACCGAAGGTTAAGTTTGTGTACCGTAATGACCAATTCAAAAAGTTCAAGCGGCAAATTGCTCATCTTGCCTTTTTTATTTTTTTTTTCTCTTCAAAAATCTGAATTGATAATCAACTGCAATTCAAACTTGCAACTGCCGTTCAAATCGATTCCGAATTCATTACCGGCGGAAATCGGTTGCCGGAGGAGGAGCATTTGGAAGCTCATCGACGGCGTCGTTGTGCATCTGCCGGGAGAAGAACGGGTAGGGTCCGGATTGCGCCGCGGTCGTTGCGGCGGCGGAGAAATGGTCCGATTTTGAGCCCGAGGAAGTGGAATTAGGGTTATAGCTTGGAAGGTAGGCTTTTATGTAAATGTTCGATCTTTCATTCATTGCGAACTGTGTTACAAAGAATGGAGGGATCCATTTTCGACTGATTTCCTAACAGTAAGATGGGTGTAACTGTATCAATAAAATTAAAAACACTTTGAGTTCGATTAGTTGCTCTCATCATAAATAAGCAATTCAACGAATGATTTATAAGGGTTTTGAAGGAAAGCTACAACACACTGCACTTAGCAACAAACAAGCAGGCATCCATAATCAAGAAGACAAGAACAAAGTCCCTTTCATTGTTAAACGTTTTCGCAGTGAGCTGGTAGTTGGGTTTGTGTTGCCCCATTTGAAGGTTCCAAAAGGCCATCACTTTCATTCATACTCATGGCACATGTGTGTGCAATGATGGAAGTGTCTGAATTGTGTAAAGTCTGTCAGACATTGTGATTCTGAAGAGGAAAATAAAACCGAACGCTCGTTATTAATCATGGCACATGTGTGTTCAATGATGCTAGCTGCACTTGGTTTACTTGCCCCCATGGCGAGACTTGTGGGACAAAGAGCTTCCAGGGAACAGAGAAAAAGTATGCCAAGTTGAAAGAGGAGTTGCTTCTGATTCCTGTAAGTGGTTGCTTGGCCATTTAGGTATATACTTAAATGCTTGTTATGAAGCTCTTTTAATTTTGAGATAATGTAGACCAGTCTGAGCTTTGGAGAGCAAAATACGAGGCCTTGGATGATGAAGCTGATGTTGCTGGACAGCTCCAGCTTCATGGAATTGAAGATCGGGCACTTAATGATGTGAAAGCTACTGTTTGGCATCAATACTTCCTGGTTAGATCGTTTGTTCGACCATTCAAATGGAGAACCCTTTTTGGGTGGCAATCGTTTGACATTCTGTTTGTCTGTAGCATGGAGAGATTGCTGAACAAATTGATCGAGATGTGGATAGAACTCATCTGGACATAAATTTCTTCTTCGGAGATTCATCCTCCATCAGGAAGAACAAGGTTTGTGTTCTTGTGTCTTATGACTTGGTTATCTCAACACCTCAGTTTTATGGGTTTCTGCCATTTCTAAGAAATTCAGGTTTTGTTGCAGGGAGCAATGAGGGACATTCTTCTGCTGTTTGCCAAAGTGAACCCAACTATTGGTTATGTGCAAGACATGAATGAGGTTTTGGCACCCATTTTCTACGTTTTTAGTACCACATACGATGAACAAGATCTGGTAAAAGTTAAAATATAAAGACTTCTTTGTTTGAAGCAATATGTAGTGTCTCAATTCATTTTGTTTGGATTAATGCTCTGTCCAGGCAAATGTAGAAGCAGACAGTTTTTAATGCTCTGTCGTGTCTAAATGGCCCACGAGAAGCTGTGGCGCCATCTTGAAAACACTAGCCAGGTCAGTTTCTGACCCTAAGAGGGTTGGATCCATAAAATCCCAGTTGAGGAACTAAGATGCAGTATGTTGATGATGCAAATGAAACAGGTGTATGCTCAGGTCTATGCATTCAGGTAGATAACTCTGCTACTGACTGAAGAATTCGGATTCCAGTCCATATTAAGGATTTGGGACTCTCTTCTGAGTAATCTATTTGGAGATCAGGCCTCTCTCTTGGTCTTGAGGATTCTCTCAATCTCATGCGTATTGTTGTGATGCTGAAGGATATGCTGCTGAGGATTTCTTGTGCAATGTTGGTGTGCTTGAGGAGTACGTTACTGTGGGGGGATTTTGCAGCCAACTTCAAGTTGTTCCAGCATCACCCTGATGAGATCGACATAGAGTACCTCCTCCAAGTGGCTCGTAGTATTGGTCTGGATGGTTCATCTCTGCACTCGCTTTGCTACCTGGACCTTCTGTAGCCAAGGAATTTAGCTGAAGAAAGCAGGTACTAGAGACACTGAGAACTGCAGGAAGCCAGGGCCTGGGCCATTTAGCCTTTTCCTTTCTGTAACTGCATTGCGCTACATGCTCAGTCATTCACGATATCTCTCGCGGCCAAAGAGACTTGGGAGGGAGCCTATACTAGCAGCATAGCCGAGTTCTAAGATCCTGAAGTTCACATCTGTGTACTTGGTAATCTCTGTACTGTCACTTATCGTGCTTCCATAGTTGTTATTGACACATGATTGATGGAAATAACTGCAAGTCTATCATCAGCCGATGAGTCTGCATCATCGTATTGTCTTACAAGTATGAATGCAGGCTCCTTGGGAGATGGAAGAGTGGTTGCATTACCCAACATGGAGACAACATTCGACATGGTTGGCCTATCCGTTGGAGATTCCTGAACACATAAAAGGCCTACTTGGATGCACCTCATCATTTGATCTGCAGAATATGATTCTCCCATAGTCGATGAATCTGCTATCTCCAATGCTCTTCCTGCCCTCCACAAATCCCACACCTGGTGTAAGGTACATACTAAATTAATTAGGTTAAATTCTCAGGTCAGCTTCGTTTCATTTGTAATGGACATGAAACTTACGTGTCCGATCAAGCTCAATGATGGATTTTCTTTGTAACAATGGTTGCTTCTCATGCCACTGACAATCTCAAGTACGAGTATCCCAAAGCTGAAGACGTCGGATTTCGTGGAGTATAGGCCTTTTATTGCGTATTCTGGTGACATGTATCCGCTGCAACAACATTCATACGCAGTAACAAGAAAACAACAATTATTTAATGTTTCAAATATATAGGCTGCTCAAAGAAAAACTATTGTAATGACTTGGTCTTACTATGTTCCCATAACTCTGTTTGTATTTGCCTCTGTTTGATCCTCCCCGAATAACCTAGCCATCCCAAAATCTGAAATTTTGGGGTTCATTGTGGCATCCAATAGTATATTACTAGGCTTTAGGTCTCTGTGAATAATTTTCAACCTTGAATCTCTGTGTAGATACAATAACCCTCGAGCAATTCCGATCACTATATCAAATCGTGTCTTCCAGTTTAATAATGAGCCTTTCGTTTTATCTATATTTAGAGAGACAAAAATCCATTAGATTAAAAAAAATTACATTGATAATTGATGGATCAAGTTGAAGGGGTGAGAAACACGAACCAAAGATGAAGAAATCAAGGCTCTTGTTTGGCAAGTACTCATAGACCAACATTTTCTCCTCTCCGTGAATGCAACAACCAAACAATCTCGCTAGATTCTTGTGTTGGAGTTTGGAAACTAGCTTCACTTCATTCTTAAACTCTTCAATACCTTGGCTTGAAGTTTGCGACAATCTCTTCACTGCAACTTTTTGCCCGTCGGCTAGCAAACCCTAAACAAAATAAGAGGCGGAAACTAAGATACATAGTGATCAATATACATCCTTTCATGCATCCTTTTTGGGTATGTACAAACACATTCCCGTACCTTATAAACAGATCCGAAACCACCTTGTCCAATCTTGTTGGCCAGAGAGAAATTCCCCGTAGCAGCAAATATGTCATTAACGACGAAAATCGACACAGATGAATCCTTCTCGTACAAGTTCTTATTCTTAGCATCATACTGTACTCCATTAATAATCCGATTGCTGCCTCCCCTGCCTTCTGCAACAAGTAAGAACAGATTAGACAAGTTTTCAACATACAGAATCCATCAGCTTTACTTCAATTTTGCTTACCTTTTCTTCTCCATTTCAGCAGCCAACACACAACCGAAACCCCCAAAACAACAGCCGCCGCTGCGCCCACAGACGTCAAAGCAATCACCAACACTCCCTTCTTCTCCTTCTTCTTCTTCTCCCCACTCTGCTCTTCCGACTTTCTCATGTATTCACCCAACTCGATTGCATCCACTCGCACGAACAAATCCTGTCGACCATCAGTAAACACTCTGGTATCAATCAAATCCCCATACAGCGTCACGCACCCGATTCCATTCGTCACATTCGCATTCGCGTAAGCCGTGCAAGAACAGTTCTTCAGACACTCTGCTCTGCAGGCGTCCAAATCCACACCAACATTCAGTCGCCCTGTCACAGTGTCAGGAACTTTCGCATTTTCCAATTTCACAAACCCTTCACCGTCCGAATTACAGGTCGAATCTCCCGAGAGACGACGCCGTTTCCTGGCGCACCCACCTGACGCATCTCTCACGGACCACTGGTTCGGAAATTTTGGCTGGAACCCAGGTAGGCAATCGCACTCCAGCTCCCCTGCTCGATAAGGGTCGCAGTTTCCGTTCGGACCGCAGCGGCCGTAGTAGTCGCACGGATCCTTTGGCGCGGAACTGAACTCGACCCATTCACCACCACCCTTCTGATCACTCTGCCATATGTCTATCTTCATGAACCCGGACGAATCCAGGTACATCCTCGACACGATCGCCGGATCTCGGAAAGCCCAGGCAGTGGTCGTCTCGCTGCTCTTCTTCTTGTCGCCTGCGAACCGGGTGGTGTAGTTGTAACCAACCACGGATTCGTGGATCGCGTTTCGGTTCCACGGGGTGTAACGCCACCGTTTGGTCCGATCGTTGCGGTGGTAAATGATCATCTGAGGCACTCCCCTTGGGTCCACGCCCATGGACCAGTCCCCCGACGCAGGATCGTCGGGGTACTTCCAGGACCTAAGCGATCGGTTGAATCCGGTCCTTAGGTCCAACCCGAACTTCATGTTCGGGAAGATGGTATTTGTTAGATGATCAAAACTCTGCCACACAACCGTCGTACTGTCGGACTGAAGCACAACGAAATTACCTCCATCCAGTAGCCTGGCCATCGAATTTCTTCCCGCGGTCGAGATAGTTGCAGACCACACGGTGACGGGGTTCCCGGTGGTTCCCCGTCGTTGCAGGACGAGGTCGTTCGACCGCTGGTCGAACGAGAGCGACCCGGTTGTGTCGTTGATCGGGTCGTCTCGGTTGGCGACCCAGACGACGGTCTGGCCCGGAACGTTGGTGTACCATATTCCGAGGTAGCGATTGCTCGAATTCCCGGCAGCGGGGCTGAAGAAGCCGAGAGTGTAGGTTTGGTCGCCATTGGAGACCAGCACTTGACCATCTGCAAGAGATTGGTTGAAGCTGATGGTGTCTGTGGTTGATGATGTGCAGAGATGAAGAGAGATTATGAGGTGAAGAAGGAATGAAATGGCTATGGCTGCAGCAAGGTCCATAAATCTGCAGAGAAAGGAAACTGAAGAAGCCAGACTGATTTTCTGAAGTCTTGGTTTTCAAGCTTTGAAACCCTTTCATAGGGAGACTTGAGGGGGTGGGGAGAGGATATTGACATTTTTGTCAATCACTATAGCAAGTTTGTGGTTTGTACTTTTGTAGTAGTCAGCTAGTGAATAGATAAGCAGAGATTTTTTTTTGTCCAAGTTATTAGATTACAATTTGAACCTTCTAAGCCACTGGAATTGACTTTTATGGATCTCAGACTTTTGAGTCACCATTTCAGCAATACTTGGGTAAGAAGTAGTCTTTTTGGTTGTTTCTGGGAAAGAGGGTTGGTAAGGTCCATAATTTATGGGTTAAATTAAAGAACTCAATTGGATTGGTAACTAGTTTGATTGATATATACTCAAGCCCTAGTTATTTGAGTTAGATTTTTAAATCAGGAATTTGGGTTATATTCATACTCAAATCAAATGCACCTAATACCTGGTTCTGGTGGCGGCAGCGGCATTGTTACTTTGAAAGGCATGCCAACAGGCCTTTGCCCTCCCTGCCTGCAATGGGGTCGTATACCCAGGCCCAGCAGACAGCAGATGAAGATGGGTTATGGTCCATGGATTCACAACCCAAAAGCAAGCTTTTTTGGACTGGGCTTGAGAGGACATGTTCATTGGCTAAAACTGGGCTGGCATTTGAATATTCGCCATTCGGTACTCCCATGTTATGATGATCGTTAAAATATGAGTTTGTAATGATTTCCAGTCTCGCGGCTAGTGATGGCAATGGGGTGGGGCGGGGCGGGGCGGGTACCTCAATTCCCATGTCCCGCCCCACGCTACTACGGGTCGGGGCGGGTAAAACCCGCGCAGGTACGGGGCGGGGCGGGTCGACCCACCCTTACATGTTGTTCAAAAAAAATACAAGTAAATTTTACTTTTTACAATAAAACGTAGGGGAAAACACTTTAAGAATGAAAAATATTGATAATAGAATGGATAATTGAGCCTAACAAGTTGAAAGATCGACTCTAACTAGTTGAAGAAAAGTCAAAATAGGAGAAATATGTATAGATATTGTAAGAAATTGAGATAAAATGAGTCTAGAACGGGGCGGGCCGGGGCAGGGTGGGTCAGAAGTAGATACCCATGCCCCGCCCCACGCTACTGCGGGTCGGGTAATACCCGCCCCATCGCGGGTCAGGTCGGGTAATACCCGCGGGGCGGGTTGAAATTGCCATCACTACTCGGGGCTCCATCAGCTGCCGGCCAATGAAATATCGGTGGAGCTACCAGTAGTCGAGAAAAGATTACAATTCTTTCACGATTTTTTTTTATCTAATGTTATAATTTACACTGTTTATATCTTGCACTATTCATCAAATCAAATCCTCCATGAAACCAACGGAGTCGTTGATATGATGGCTCGCCGCCGATGCCACACACATCATCGTCATATGTACCTTAATTCAAATGAACCAAGCGAGATATGGAGCGAGATTTGGTGTTAATGTAATCATACTTTTTTCATGTAAAAAAAAAGTTAGGGTACCCAATTATAAAATTTAGGAAGAGCCCACAAAGAGGTTTAGCTAGGTTACAAAGACCGACTCTTTCATTCGAGTCCTTTTTGTTTGTAGAGTGAGGTTACTTGTGGTCGGAGTAGTCATCTTCTTCCTTGGCCACAAGCAAATGATTTGTTTGGGCGGTGATGGGAACCCTTCAATGGTGATTCTCTTCAACTTCTCAACTAGTTCTTCCTTTTCCCTATTGATTGCTTTTTGCTTCCTTGTTCTTGTCGGTCACTACTACCCTTTATTCGCTCACACTTTCCTTTTCGAGCACAGTTTGGTCCCAAATCTGTTGTTTGAGGGGGTGAGTCATATAACCAAACGAAACATAATGAACAAAACACCAATCAGCTAGCCCTCATTAATTCCATTATTATCGATCTCAACTAGCTGCGTACTTAGCATTTCGTTTCACACGAGGTGTAATCTAACATTAAATTGTAGTATGACTTTAATTAATTTCTTACAAGGACCTATTGTTGAAAATATAAGTATCAGTTTGTAATTGTACAATAAGTCCTTAGTTATTACGGTTAATCGAACCTATGTATATATACTTGTATCTCACGTGTGTACTGGTAACAAAGCAATAAGATTGACTTGGAGAGCTCTGCCTCTCCCGTGGACTAGTCCTGTTGATCAGGGAAACCACGTTAAACTCAGTGTTCGTATTCTTTGCTTTGATTTTGACATGATATCAGAGCCTCTCTGATTCAAGGCTTGGTATTGCGTTGGCCAGTTCGTTGCGTCGGCTTGGCTAAGGTTTTATTTCTCGGCTGCAGCTAGGGTTTTGTCTTTAGGCAGCAGCTTGATTTGTTCTTTTCGGCAGCAGCTAGGTTTATTATTTTCGGCAGCAGCTTGGTTTGTTCTTTTCGGCAGCAGCTAAGTTTATTTTCGGCAGAAGTTTGTCCTTTTCTTGGGCGGCAGAAGTTTGTTCTTTTCGGCAGCTGCTGAGTTTTGTTATTTGTTTCACCGCCGGTAGGTTTCTGTCTTTGGTTTGTTCTCGTCGACGGTGTTGAGCTACATAGGTATGGATTCTTCTAAGTTGGATATGGTCTCTGTTAAGTTTGATGGAAAAAAAATTCCATTGTGGGAGTTTCACTTCAGAAACTTTGTGGAAGGACAAAGGTTATCGTCTGTTTTGATGGGCGAATTGAAGCAACCAGCCGATGATGCAAGCGAGAAGGACAAAGTTGATTGGGCGGCTTCTAATGCTCGTGTGATCCATTGGTTGCTGAGATTTGTTGATGTGCAGACCGCGCTTAGTCTTTGGCGTTTCCGCACTGCCCATGATATGTGGAAACACATATGTGCTACGTACTCACAAGCTGACCCGTCCCGGCTTTACGAACTTGAGTTGGAACTCGCAGGCTTGTCACAAGGTGATCGCGATGTACGTAGCTATTACAAACATGCTCTTCACCTCTGGACCGAATACGATTTGGTCACTGCTTTATTATTGTCCAACGATGCTACCGTTGAAGTTCTCAAGGAGCGTTCGCGGACTCGGGTAATGCAATTCCTCATGAAACTTCGTGCTGATTTTGAACCTATACGGGCGTCCATGCTCCATCGTGGGATTTCTAATCTCGATGTTGTGGTTGCTGAGCTCATTCGGGAGGAGACGAGACTCAAAAGTTAGTCTCATATAGATAATCATGCATCGGATTCAGCATTTGCAGTCAGCCGGTCTGGTGCTTCACAACGCCTACAGTATGGGGCTCCTTCTAGTGGGGAGTTGATCTGCCATCACTGTCACGAACCTGGGCACATTCAGATACATTGTAAGAAGCGAAACTATTGCAACTATTGTAAGAAGGCGGGTCACATTGTCTTGGAATGTCCCACCTTGACTAAAAGGGGTAAAGTTCGCTTTCCTACATATGGTTCTTCTTCAAGTGCTTCGTCCACCACGACCCGACCTTCGAACAAGCCTCTAGGTGCTGCTTATGCTGTGTCTGAACCTGCTGCTTCCAGTTCTAGTGGTGGTGTCTCGACTTTCTCACCCGAAGTTGTTCGCCGAATGGTACAAGAGGCGTTGCAGGAGGCTTTGCCGCAAGCGTTAACCTCCGCATTTGCTACAGGTGCTATCTCTGGTAAGTCTGCAAAGTGGTTATTAGATTCTGGTGCCTTTAATCACATGACCCATGTTCGTAATTCATTTGATAAGATCGAGCCTGTCTCGAATGTACACCTACGCATTGCTAATGGGGATCAGGTGGCAGCTGTCGGTCGGGGTACTTCCTCTACGGGGATGGTTACTCTTCCGAGTACTTTATATGTCCCGGGTTTACTTCCTAATCTTGTGTCCGTTGGGCAGTTGACTGAACATGGCTGTGATGTTAAGTTTAATTCCGCCGGTTGTCTGGTACAGGACCAGAAGACGGGGATGGTGATCGGGACAGGAAGTAAGCAAGGAAGAGTTTTTGTGTTAGACGAGCTAGGACATCTTCCCGGAAATCATGATGTTGCTGGCGGGAATATGAAGCCAGCCTAGTTTGCCACTAGCTTGAAGTCTGGCAATTCCTTTTTTGATTCTATGTCTGCAAACACTATTCAGTCTGTTGGTTTAAAGAATAAGGATATTTGGGATTTGTGGCACTGTCGTTTGGGCCATTTGCATTCAGCGATATTGTTAACTATGTTTTGTCGGAATTTATTGTCTGGAAAAGTCGATTCGTCGTTTGGTTCTCGTTCTGATTGTGTTAGCTGTATAGAAGCTAAGGCTTCTCAGAGTTCTTTTTCAGCTAGTGATACCGTGTATGCCGAACCATTTTGACCTTATTCATACGGATTTGTGGGGTCCGTCTCCATTCGTCTCGCGTTTGGGTTACAAATACTTCGCCTTGTTTATTGATCATAGAACGCGCTATGCTTGGGTCTACTTTCTTCGGCAGAAGTCCGAACTGTGCTCCATAGCTCAGGAATTTGTGCAGCTTATCAAGACACAGTTTGGCAAGACAATTAAGATTATTCGCTCCGATGAAGGTGGGGAGTTCACGAAGCATGAGTTGCTGAACTTCTACAAAGCAGAGGGAATCGTCTCACAGCTTTCGTGTCCGGGTGTTTCACAACAAAATGGCTTGGTGGAACGCAAACACAGGCACGTTCTTGAGCTCACTCGTGCTCTGTTGTTTCACTCCCATGTTCCGAGTGGCTATTGGGTGGAGGCAGTTCACACCATTGTTTATCTCATAAATCATCAGATTACTCCGGTGCTGGAACAGTGCTCTCCTTATCAGCTTTTATACTCTCGGTCTCCCAATTATGCTTTTTTGCGGGTCTTCAGCTACACCTGTTTTCTTCTTCTACCCCGCAAGGATCGACATAAGCTCGCTCCAAAGGCGGTCAAGTGTGTGTTCTTGGGATATAGTGATCGACATAAAGGTTACTGTTGCTATGATCCCGTTGGAAAAAGAATGCGTATTGCCT